CAGTCCCTACCCTCAAGGAGCTTACAATCTAAAGGAGGGAGACAACACAAAAATAGGCAGGAAAATAGGAAGGGAGATGGGGGATCAGGAGAGACCCATTGTGGGGCATCTTTTCCCATGGAGTTGAAACCAGGCAGAACAAAAGGTGCAGAGTGAGCTGAATGTAGTTTCTGCCTTCTCTATAAAGGAGGCCATTGGGAAGAACTTGGCACTCCACCCTTGCTGTTGAGGCATGTCTGACTTTTCATGACCCCATTTGGGGTTGGCCATTTCCTTCGCATTTTACAGATGAGAAACTGAGGCAAGCAGAGTTAAGTGACTCACCCAAGGTCACGCAGCTAGAACGTGCCTGAGGCCAGATTTGAACTCAGAGAGAAGAGTCTTCCTGATCCAAACCCCAGTGCTCTATCCACCTGTGCCACCTACCTGACCCAGGCATTCTACCTTCTAATGCTTCAGTCAGGACAGAAGAGGCTGAGGGAGGCAGTTCAATAAAGGCTTAAATTAGCAACATAACGATGAGATTGGAAATGAGATTCTTAACCTGGGAGGGGCATTTTGCTCCTTGGAGCTGAATAGAGCAGCATACGCTATGTTCTAAGCAGAAAAGGAGAGGGGCCAATCATGTAGCCAGAGTAAGGGTAAGAGAACTTTTTGGCAGCCCTCATGCTCCATTGGTACCCAAAGGGAGGTCCCGAGCACATTTGTTGCACTTTCAACATGAAGGATTTGGGGAAACATGCGAACAAGATTTGCACTGGATAAGAAGACTTAGATGGGTTATTATATGTACCATCTTTAGGGAGGACCCAAATTAACGGAATCAGATCCACTAAAGTGATGAAATTTTTTAGTTTGAAAATCTTATTTATTTTATATGCAACAACAACAAGAAAATGTAGTGGGTCTGATTACATAGACCTTCAGAAAGGCTGACTAATACAGAGACCTTTTGCGTATCAAATTGTATTAGCTGGCATTTATGAAATTAGCGAGAACTGTGATACATTCTATTAGGATACTTTAAATGTGTAGAGGGCTATAAGGAGTTAAAAATGGGACTCCTGCCCCATCATTGGCAGGGACTGGCGTGAAAGAGGAAGATGAGAAATTGCCCCTCCCCCTTTGGTTCTCTGAAAGGATCCCCTTCTAAGCAGATGTCTAACATGAGCAGAGGGCTCAGAGTCTTCTCCCAAGATCAACAGTGTCATTTCCAGAAGGAAGGGTTCACTTGAAGAAACTCAGTGAATCTGTCAGCAATTGCGTCCAATTGCACTGATCTTAACAGAGGTTATTCTCCTTTGTTCCGAAAGGCAATTTTCCATTCAGAGAATTCGAGGTGACACTAAACCAGAGAGGGGGAATTCTAGAACTTTAAAGCTTTGAAGAGGCTTTGGAGGTTATTTAGTTCAACCCCCTCATTTGTCAGAGGAGGCCCCAAGGGGTTATGTGACTTGCCCAAGCTCTAGCTGCTAATTGGTAGCAGAAGTTAGACTGGAATACAAGTCTCCAGGCTTGGAATCTAGCATTTTTTTTTCACTACTCCATATTGTCTGTCTTGGTTCACCTCCTTTTCATATAATTACCAATGATTTGCCTAGAAGGAAAAGCATTGAACCCTTTGCTGATTTCCCTAAAATGATCTCAGTCTTAAGTATTCGTCCTTCCTCTGGAGTCCCTGCAGCTGCAGCTCCCTTGCCTTCATTTGGTTCAGGAGTCTTCTATTCTGCCTTGAGAGGCAGATGTGGACAACAGTCTATTATCATCTTCCCTGTAGCCTCCTTATGCTGGTCTTTTGCCTCCGGGGAAGCAGAATGGATAGGGCAGCTAGGTGGTATGGGTGGATAAAGGGGCAGGGCAGAAGTCAGGAAGACTCCTCTTCTGGAATTAAAATCTGGCCTCAGACAATTACTAGCTATGTGACCCTGGGCAAGTTGCTTAACCCTATTTGCCTCAGTTTCCTCATCTGTAAAATGAGCTGAAGAAGGAAATGGCAAACCACCCTAGTATCTTTCTTTACCAAGGAAACCCCAAATGGGGTCACAATGAGTCTGAAACAACTCAACAACAAAAAAAAAGGGAATGGATAGTTTCATAAGGAATGTTATGTATACCATTTCTGAAAAATAATAACATGATTTTTAATAAAATATTAACTATACTAAGTAGCAGCCCCCTTTAAATGTCTATGAACTTGGAAGGTTTTGTTGTTTTATGTTTTTTAATATGGTTGTAGTCAATACACATATTATTATTCTGCTGACCTCACTTTGTATCATTTAGTATGAATCTTTCTAAATTTTTACTATTTTTCATATTTGTCATTTTTTATAACATAGTCGCATTCCATTTTATTAACATAACATCAGGAATGCAGCCATTCCACAGTTTTTTAGACACATAGATGATTTCCCATCAAGTTCTTGTTATTGCAAATAATAACAAGGTGGGACAGTTGGGAGCACAGCAGATAGAGCACTGACCCTGAATCAGGAGGACCTGAGTTCAGCCTCAGGCCCTTACTAGCTGTGTGACTCTAGGCAAGTCACTTAACTCTGATTACCTCCTCTTTCTCCTTCTCTTCCTCCTTCTCATCGTCATTATCATAACAACATGGCATCATGGTATAGAGGACAGAGAGCCAGCCTTAAGACCAGCAAGCCCTGCATTTGAGTCCTGTCTGTGACATATACTAGCTGTGTGACCCTGGCAAGTCATTTAATCTCTCAATGCTCTAGGTCATACCATAAGTTGCAGGGAATGTGCCAGCTTGCACTGGTAGAGAGAGCCCTCTCACTTGAGAGTCTTCTAAAAAAATTCATAGACTTATTCCTATTTCAAGTAAAAGAATTATGAATATCTTGGTTCACAGAGAGCCTTTCTCCATATTAATAGTATCTGTAGGGCCCAGTGCCAGCAATGGATTACCTGGGTCAAAAGCTGATATTAGTTTTATGTCTCTTTTGCCTGTGGGCAAAATGTTCTCCAAAATCCTTATAGCAACTTACCATACCACAAACCTGGTAAGAGAGGGTTTATTTCTTCCAATCAGTAAAACAACAAATATCTATTAAGCACTTGCCTTATGCCAGGTGTATGTTAGGTGCTGGTGATTCAAAGACAAAAATGAAACAGTCCTCGACTTCAGGAAACTTACACTTTATAAGAGTGAGGGGAAAGAACAGTGTATGCTTACAGGTCATTATAGACTATATTACATACAAAAATAAGTACAAGGTTATTTCCAGGGTAAGGGAGACAGTCAAAGCTAGAGGGAATTCAGGAAGGCTTTATGTCGAAGGTGGTACTTCAGCTGAGGAAGCGAGGGCTTTTAAGATGTGAAGACGTGAGGAAGGATTGCATTCCAAGCATGGGAAATGGCCTGTACAAAGACATAGCGACAGGAGGTAGAATGCCATCTATGAAGAACAGTGACAGGCCACTTTGGCTAGATCACAGAGGGCAGGAAGGGGAAGAATGTGTAATGAGGCTGGAGTGGGAGGTTGGGGGCCAAGCTGTGAAGGGCTTTAAATGCCACAAAAAGGAGTCTGTGTTTTATCCTAAAAGCAAGGAGGAGTCACGGAAGCTCTTTGAACAGGACTGAGCCATAGTCAGGCATTTCCCTTTGGTTAGTTATGTGAAGGATGGTCTGGAGAGGAGCAATTCTTGAGAGAGGAAGACCAATTAAGAGGCCAGTCCAATAGTCCAGGTCAGAGAGACCAAACTAGAGGAATGACCATCTGAGTGGAAACAAGGGGCAATATCTATAAAAGTAGAATCAACAAAACTGAACAAGACAGATGGAATATCGAGAATGGGTAAGAGTGAAGAGTTGAGGATAAGTTCAAAGTAGCGAACCTTGGTGCCCAGAAAGATAGAAATACTTCTAACAGAAACAGGGAAGTTAGAAATAGGATTAGATGGAGAGGAAAGGGCATTCATTTAATTTTGGACAGGTTGAGTTTAAGATGCCATCTGTATTGAAATATCTAATGGGTATATAAGTCTCATCAGGGAGAGACTAGGGCTGAATTGTTAAAGATGTGTAGGTTGTCTCTACAAAGATGGCGCTTTAAACTCTAGGAGCTGATGAGCTTCCCAGGAGAGAAATGGTAGTCGAGAATAGAAGGGGGTCCAGGACAGAACCTTGGTGTGAACCCACAGTTAGGGAACAGGACATGAATGACAATGCAGACAAATAAAAGGAGAATCAGGAGAGAGCAGCGTCACACAAATTTGGAGAGTGAAGGCATTGGGGAGGAGAGTCAACAGTGTCAAATGCTATAGAAAGATCAAGAAAGAGGGACTATCATACAACAGAAAGCACCCTGGCTGTGGAGGTTTTATTGGTTCAGTTGTTCTCAGTTGTGTCTGGCTCTTTGTGATCCCTTTTTGGGGGCTTTCTTGGCAAAGATACTGGAGGGGTTTGACATTTCTTTCTCCAGCTCATTTTACAGATGAGGAAACTAAGGCGAACAGGGTTAAGTGGCTTGCCCAGGGTCACACATCTAGTAAGTGTCTGAGGCCAGATTTGAACTCAGGTCCAGGCCCAATACTCAATCCACTGCACCACCTAGGTGACTCAGGAAGACTTAGGTTCATATGTGGCCTTTGCCACTTCCTATTTGTGCCACCTTGGATCTCAGTTTCTTAATCTATAAAATGAGGAGGTATGACTAGATGTCTCTGGGGTCCCTTCCAGCTCTAAACTGATGACCCAATGACTGAGAAAAGGCCATTGAATTTGGCAGTTAGGAAATCATCAGTAAATTTGTACAGAGTAGTTTCTGTTGCGTGATAAGGCTGGAAGCCAGATTACAAGGGAATAAGAAATAAGAGGAAAGGAAATGGAGGTAGTGGGTGCAGACAGCTTTAACTAGCAGTTTTGTTATGAAAGGAATGAGGGCTATAAGATGATAGCTTGAGGGTATGGTAGGAAAGGGTTTTTAAGGGTGGGGGAGACCTGGATACATTTGTAGGCAATAAAGAAGGAGCTGGTTGATAGGGAGAGATTGAAGACTGAAAAACAAACAACATTTAATTGTGTTTTTTTAGCTATTTTTGCCAACATGATGGATGGATGTAAGATGCCTATCTCACTTTTGAAATGCACAGGAGTTGCCTAGAAACATTGCACCGTCTAACTTCAGAGTGCGGCATACTTCTTTTACAAAACTTCATTGGTTCCAAAAGCAAAGCCCTAGAAAATTACCTTAAAATAAATTTTATTGAAGCCACTTGTTTTTTCCCCCTTTTATATCACCGTAATTTTCCCCAGTATCCCACCCCCTTCCAGAGAGCCATCGCATATAACAAATATTTTTAAGACAAAAAAAGGGGGAAAAAATTCAGCCTCGCTGATCAATACATTGAAAAAAATCTGAAAGCATGTGTGATGTGCCATCCTCATGGACCTCCCACATCTGCAAAGGGTTTGGGAGGGGAATCTTCTCCTCTCTCTTCTTTCCAGCCATGCTTGTTCTTTACAATTTCATATTTACTTCTGATTCTTGTAATCATTCTTTCCACTTAGATTGTTGAAGTCCTTTTTATGTATTGTTTTCTTGGCTCTGTCTACTTCACTCTGCATCAGTTCATATAGATCTTTTCATGGATTTTTCCGGATTCATCATAGTCATCATTTCTTATAATACTGTTACATTTCATTACATTCAATGCACCAGAATTTGTTCTGCTATTTCCCACTTGATGGACATCTACTTTGTTTCCAACTCTTTGCTATCACAAAAAAATGCTGTTACAAATGTTGGTGAATGTGGGGACTCTCTTCTTATCAATGGCCTTCTTGGGGTATAAGCCTAGTAATAGAATCCCTGGTTCAAAGGGTGTGGATAACTTATGATTTCAAGTTAATTAAATTTATCCGAAAGGTTAGTGCATAAGACCAGAGCGCGAGGTGAAGCAAAGCTGGGGGGGGGGGCGGGGATAGCTAACATACTGGGTGAGAATCAAGAACCAAAAGGATCTCCACAGGACAGAACATTGATGTAAATCTAATTAGATTAAATTTCAACAGGAATAGCTGCAAAGTCTTATGTTAGATTTCCCCAAAAAATCAAATTCACAAGTAAAATATGGGTTGGACTTTGAAAAAGATCTTGAGGTTTTAGTGGACCACAAACTCAAGGTGATTCAAGAACACAATATGGTAGCCCCCAAAAGAGGCATAGTGTCCAGGACAGGGTAGATAACAGTGCCACTATATCCTACCCTGCCATTTGACCACATAGTGTTCAGTTCTAAGCAACGCATTTTAAGAAGGACATTGATAAGCTACAGAGAGTCCAATAGAAGCTGACTGGGATGGTGCAGGGCCTTGACAGTATGACACACAAGGATCAGATGAAGGAATGGAAAACGGTAAGCCTGGAGAAGAGAAGAAAGAAGAACAACATGATTGTTGTAAGTATTTGAATGGTTTTCATGTAGAAGAGTTCACTCTGCTTGACCCCAGAGGATAGACCTAGGAGTAATGGGTGGAAATTGCTAAGAGCCAGACTAAGTAAGGGAAAACATCATAGCAATTAGCAGCCATCCCATAATGCAGTGAGGCCCTTGTTCAATGAGTGACCAGTGTTTTAGGGATGCCATAGAGAGCTTCTTCATCAGGAATGGGTTGGACCAGGTGGCCTTAGAGGTGAGGTCCCTCCCAACCCTGTGATCCTGTGATTTGAGGACAACTTGGCCCATTTGGGAAGGAGACACTCCAAAGGGCAAAGCTGAGGAGGTGTGGACATCAAGGCTAATTCAGGTCTCCAGAAAAAAAGGGACATTTATTCAAACAAAGTAACGCCCTAATTGTCACAGCAGGCAAGGGAGTAGAGAAGAAAAATTCTTCCGATTATAGAACTTCCTGTCTCTAGCAGAGACTTGGCATGGTCCAGGAGAGTGAAAACAAAACCCCTGTTCCTCTCTGTGTCTCCCTCCCTCCACCACCTTACACACACAGCCACACAAATTCCCAACTTGACAAATGGAAGCCAGGGAATGGGGTGGAGGGAGGGAGTAGGAATGAGGAGGGGAAAGGACTTGTGACTTGCACTGAAGGTATGACAGGAGGTTGTTATTTCAGGTGTCTCGTGTCACTACTCTTTGGGGGAGCAGGAAATGCCCAGTGATTTTCAAATATTCTCTGCTGCTAAGAGGCTCCTCCAGCGTGCTATCTCATCTCCATCTAACAGTTTTCTCCCAAGTCTGAACCAGATGCCCCCAGGCAGACCAGTCCATCTGACGCCTAAGGGAAAGGAGCCTCGAGTTTCAGACATCACATAAGCTGCCCATGGAACAGATTCCTTAAACTTTGTTGTAGAGGGAAGAGGTCTCTTGAGACTCTTCTCTCCTCTAAAGAGTTACCCATGGAGGAGCCTCCCGCTGTGATGGAGCTGGTATCCTTGAGCTGAGTGGTCACAACTCCAGTAGCAGACAGCTCTCATCATGCCAAGGTGGAAAGAATGCTGGAATGGGACTAAAAGGAGGGTCACTCTAGCCAGCTCTACCACCAACCCTCCCTGTGACCTTTAGATAAGTCATTTCCCTTCTCTAAGCTTTACTGTAAATAAGAGAACTCAACTGTCTTTTCAGGCTTATCACACATCATTGCCCTTCACACACATTCTATTCTCCAGCCAAACTAGCTGTCCTGTATGACTGGTATATATTCCCCTTTCACCTCTGGCAAGAGGTAAATCCTTTTCAAAGAGTACTTCCTAAAACGCATTGCTTAGGACTGAATGCTATGTGGTCAAATGTGGTCTGACAGGGTAGGATACAGTGGTACTGTTATCTACCCAGTCCTGGACACTATGCCTCTTTTGGGGGCTACCATACTGTGTTCTTGAATCACCTTGAGTTTGTGGTCCGCTAAAACCCCAAGATCTTTTTCGAAGTCCAACCCATGTTTTACTTGTAAATTTGATTTTTTTTGGAAATCTTATATAAGACTTTCAAAGTTCTGCTCGGGTGCTAGTTCCTGCTGGACACCTTTCCTGATCCCTCCAGTTACTCCTGCCATCCTCATCATGAAATTACTTCTAATTTACCTTTAATGTACTTTGTATTTACACATATGTGTTCCTGCTATTTTCCCTCCCCCAGAACGTCTGGTAAGCTCCCTGAGGGTAGGAACTGGAGTCTCAGCCCCTAGCATAAAGTCTGGCTTGTTGATTAATTGATTGATTAGATGGGATGATCTCCAAGGTCCCTTTAAAGCTCAGATATCCCTTGGTTCCAATCACTTGCATGCATGATGTTGAGCTGAAGGATCTCAGCTAGTAGTCCCTGAACCTGCCTGCTGGGCTGTTCATAATCTAAGGCAGATAACAAATGCTGGGAAGGATGGGCCTTAGCCAGAGTATGCTAAGATCTGAACAACCTTACTGAGAGGAAGGAATTAAATGTGGCATACATGAAGCACAAGGAATGGCGTATGCGTAGGCCACAGGCAGAGACTCCTACTATGCTGGTTTATCTTCCCTTCTAAGTCTGACTCTGAATAAGAAGGCTCCTGGTTGCTGCATCTGAATCAGAAGAGCCCACTTGGCCCAGCCCTGCCTGCCCCCACAGAAGCTGATGCTCTTAGGCAGGATGCCTGATGGGAATTGCACAGAACATATGGGAACTGTTGTGCTGATACCATCAAAGTACAGGCTAATCACGTCTAATTCTTATTATCATTATTTTATCTTTTCTTCTTGAGGCAGCTAGATGGCACAGTGGATAGAGTGCTAGGCCTGGAGTCAGGAAGCCCCTAATCTTAGACACTTACTAGCTGTAGGCCGTTTGCCCTGGTTTTCTCTTCTATGATGTGATAATGATGATAGCACCTACCTCCCAGGGTTGTTTTGAGAATCAGATGAGATAATGGCAAAGCACTTAGCATAGTGCCTGGCATATAGTGAGCGATATATAAATTTTGGCTATTATTTTCATTATTATGATTATTTTGAGCCTAGAGTCTGGTTTCCAGTTTGAGGGACCTAGAGTGTGTTTCAAAGGAGAGGACAGCAGCAAGATAGAGAGTTGGAGGCAAGAGATGGAAAATGCTCCTTCGCCAAGACTAGATGACCAAGAGTTCAAATTTGATGACGATATAACCCTTTAATACCAGTATTGGGGACATATGGGAAAGATAAAGGAAAAACAGAGGGAAAATCAGAGGGTGAAAATGAGGTAATTCATTGCCAATGAATCATAAATTTAGAGCTCTGAAGTCACCTAGTCTAAATTCCTTGTTTTAAAAATGGGGAAACTGAGACCTACATAGGTGAAATGATTTATTCCAGGTCATACGGAGAGTGTAGCATCTAAGTAAGTATCCAAGGTCATGGACTCTGAGTCCAAAGGCAGTCCTCATGCCCAAAGCACCACACTGTCCTCTGTTTAAGGCCCATAGGACACTCTAGAAGGATCTGGCATTTATCAGCTCTACCAACTCAGAAGGCGATCAGTCTGTAACTTACTAGATAAGTCCTTAAGAGTTGGTGGGCAAGGTAAGAGACTTGTCCAGAGTCACACTTGTCAGAAGTGGGATTTGGCCTCAAGTTTTCTTGACTTCAAACCCAGTACTATATGCCAGATACCAAACTCACTCTATGGTGCTTCAAATACAGTCTCAGAAACTCGAATGGACTGGATTCACTGTTCTAACCCTTTGTATTCCTCTACTATTTTTCAAAATAACACTTTGAAGTTGGAGACTTTTATTATCTAAGCATAAACATTTCTCCCTCATGGGGTGGGTAGGTAGGACAGGAGACCAATTATTTCCAGTTTACAGATGACATCTCTGAGGAACACAGATGGTAAAGTGACCTATCTGTGGTTAACAAAGAAATTGACATTTACCTAGTGCTTGAAGGTCACAGAGTCCTTTGAATTCATTATCTCATTTGAGCCTCAGGACAACCTTGTAAGGTACCATCATTATTATTTTTTTACAAATGGGGAAACTGAGGTCTGGGGCAAGTAAATGACTTGCCTGTCCATGGTCACAAATGTGACCATAGTAACTCTCAGAGGCAGAATTTGAACCCAGGTTGTCCTGAAGTCCCAAGTCATTTACCACTCTAGCCACCAATGTTACACTGTGTCTCCAGCATAAATAGACAAAACAGTGATAGACTAGGTAATCAATTAATAAATTGTGGAATCCATTATTGGTTCAAGTGTGGCCCAGCCTTAAAATTTGACCTTTATTAGATTTTTCTCTAGGAAATTTGGTCCTCATTTCCAAGTATCTTTCCTTATAAGATGAAGAAGTTATTACTCTCATCTAGCCACCCTGTTTGTTGCACAAATCTAGCCTCAGAGAAGGGTTCAAAATTTCAGCAGATGGACCTTCTTCCAGCCCTTCCTACTCAGCCTGTATTGTGTGAGTGCTATCTAATGGCAGGGAGGGACTGAAGCCTTGAAAGGGTCCAGGCCCACTAGCTCTAGGAGCTGCTATTTCCATTCTCATTAACATTCATACATACCTGAGCCTCCCTACTACATTCCTTTACAACCCAGAGTCTTTGAGCCTGGGCTCATTCACATGTCTGAACTTCCTTCAGGCTCTGTCTCCTGGTTCTTCTCATCTGCCTCCTCCCAAAAAGCTTCTGGACTAGGACAAAACAGAGGTCCTGACTATCACAGGGCAGCCAGAGGCTCAGCATCCCTGGAGCAGCTCTGTGAAACTTTTTGTCTGCTTGTTGTTTCAGGTGTCCTGTATCACGGTCCCATTTGGGACAGGAAGTGTCCTGTGTCACTGTTTTGTCCTCTTGTAGTCTGATATCAAAGAATCAACCAGGGAGTTCCAACACGATGATCAGGAGCTCTGGCTCTGTTACCCCTGCCACCACCTGTTAGAACAGCTACTCCGGCCCGGCTGCCAAACCTGGAACAACAAATGCTTTATGAAATAATAACACCACCATTAAAAAAAAAAAAGGAAAAAAAAGATACAACTCTGCACTATCCAGGCATTTCAACTCAGGGCTCAGCTTTGAAGTATGGCCAGCTAGAGATGAACAAGTTGAGCTTCCTGGGCGGAAGGAGAGCCAGAGATTTGCATGACACATTCTTTGGATCCAGGAAATTTAGTTTGCTGGAGTCCTTTCCTTCTGGTTAGAGTTCTGTCCCTCATTAGCCTTGAGAGGCCCCAAACTGAAACCCAAACTTAAAGAGAAAACATATCTTTGTCTCTGCTGTTCAGAACATTCTCCCACTGTCAAGGACCTCAAAACCAACCCAATTTTTGCTATGGAGACTTTGTCTCAAGGCACCAGACTTTAAGGGACATGAGAGTGGTACATTTGACGTTCCTTCCCTTGTGTAGGGACTCCCTAGGGACACCAGCTGGACGGGTAGGCACTCAGGCATTAACCTTTGAGTCAAGGTAAGTGGGATGAAGTGGTGAAATAAACTCAAGGCCCCCTAGACATTCTTCTATGGGCTGATAAGATGCTTTTCTTCAGTTTTGCTTTTCTTTGTATGCCCATCACTTAGCACAGTCCCCAGCACACAGTAAGTACTTAATAAATGCTTCTTGATTGAATGATTGATTAATTCTCCACCTCTGCCCTTCGAAGCTGAAACATAGCACTTCTTCCACCCCTTCTGACTCAAATCTGCAATACCTGACTTTATTCACAACCACAATCTTTGTCTCCCTCTAGATTTTGACCTCTGTGGTTCTGACCCTGGCCTGGAAACCCTCGGCTTCACAGTGTGACTTTGGCATTCTTAACATTTCAGTTTGTCAAAGCAGTGTGGTATGGGGGAAAATACCATTGGCTTTGAATCCCAGCTCTTGGGCAAGTCACATCATCTCTCTGGGACTGTTTTCTCAGCTATAAAATGACAGCGGTGGACTTTTCAATTGTGTCTGACTCTTCATGACCCTGTTTAGGGTTTTATTGGCAGAGATACTGGAGTAATTTGCCATTTCCTTCTCCAGCTCACCTAACAGATGATGAAACTGAGTTAAATGACTTGTCCAGGATCACCTATCTAGTAAATGTCTGAGGTCAGATTTGAACTCTCGAAGAAGAGTCTTCCTGGGGGCAGCTAGGTGGCGTAGTGGATAGAGTACCGGCCCTGGATTCAGGAGGACCTGAGTTCAAATCCAGCGTCAGACACATAACACTTACTAGCTGTGTGACCCTAGGCAAGTCACTCACCCCCACTGCCTAGGCCAAAAAGAAAAAAATAGTCTTCCTGACTCCAGGTTCAATATTTGATCCACTTCACCATCTAGCTCTTCTAAGGCTGGACTAGATGACAGCCAAATTCCCTTCCAGACATAAAGCTACAATCCTTTGACCCCCTAATTAACTAGATCATTAAAAACTCATCTAAAAAGGATTGATCCCCCTTTCTTGATGCATACAACTAAAACAAAATTCTAAGAAGGTCCATGACAATTTGGGAATTATTCAGTGAACAGTTTTGCATCATATATAAGGTGTTCTGTGGCCCTTAAGTAATCAAACCTCACTTCCTCTTAAGACCCTTTCCCTGACTACCAGCACAACACTCTGACCATTACCTTCCCAGGCCCATTTCCTGGCTTCCTGACCTCAAAACCACACCCCAGCTACTTTTCAGCCTTCTTCCTTCTTCCTTCTTCCATACACTGTCTTGCTATATTAGAATGGAAGCTCCTGGAGGGTGGGGACCATCTTTTTGCTTGTATTTGTTCCCTCAGCCCATAAATGCTTAATAAATGCTCATTTCCTTCCTTCCTTCCTTCCTTCTTTCCTTCCTTCCTTCCTTCCTTCCTTCCTTCCTTCCTTCTTTCCTTCCTTTCTTTGCTCCACTCCAAACCTTGAATATGCAGATTATGTTAAAGCTGTCTGGAATTTGTTTATAAATTGTTTTCCAATGGCTCAGCTCTCCAGTTTTTCCAGTATGTATATTTGATGGCAGGGGTTATGCCTGCTGGCAGATGTATTTGCTGAGCCACTGTCGGTACTTCTTGAGCATTCGTGGAGAATTGGAACAGAGCCAGAAACCTTGAGACAAGGCATAAAATCTTCCAATTTTCAGGGGGAAAAAAAGGATGCAGAGCAGAATTTGCAAAATGTAGACCAATAAGCTTGACTTCCATTCCAGGAAAAATTCCAGAATACATCATTAAAGGGATGGTTATTAAACAGCTAGAAAAAGAAAAGTAATCACAATGAGCCTGCATGGTTATATATCATGCCAAACTAACATTAAATCCTTTTCTGACAAGGTTATTAGATTGAGAGATTATGGAAATATTGGACACATAGTTACCTAGATTTTAGCAAAACATTTCACAAAGTCTCTCATTCAACCTTTATTGATAGAGTGCAGGAGAATGGGCCAGATGGTAGTACCAAACTGGTCAAATAGTCAGGGTCAAGCAGTAGTTATTAAGAGTTCAAGGTCAGATTGGCCAGAGATCTCCAATGGAGAGACTCAAGAATTTGTGTAACATTTTTATCAATTATTTGGATGAAGGCATAGACGTTACACTTCTCAAATATGCAGATGGCACAAAGCTAAAAGGGATAGCTTACATGTGAGATGACAAAATAAGGATCCAAAAAGATCCCAACAGGGTAGAATTTTGAGTCAAATCTAATGTTAAGAGCAATAGAGATAAACATTAATCTTACACTTGAATTCAAAAATCAACTTCACAAATATAAGATGAAGGAGGCATAGCTAGACAGCAGTTCATCTAAAAAAGATCTGGGGGTTTAAGTGGGCTGCAAGCTCAATATACTTAAGCAGTATAATATAGCAGCCTTCCCCCCCCCTCCAAAAAAGAAAATCTAACATGATCTCAGGCTGCAATGTGAGAGGCCTAGTGTCCAGCACTAAATGAGTGAGAGTCTTACTACACTTTGCCCTGATCAGAATATGTCTGCAGTATTCTGCTTAGGTCTGAGAGGTTTTAGGAAGGACGTTGATAAGCTGCAGAGCATCCAGGAAAAGGCAGTGGGGATAGTGAAGGGCCTTGGGATCAGGATCTTTGAGGATGCACTAGGGATGTTGAGCCTAAAAGGGGAGAAGAGAACTATCTCGGAGGACCTGAAGGGTTGTCAGAGGAAAGAGGGATTAGCCTTGTTCTGCTTGGTCCCAGAGGGCCGAACTGGGGCCTACAGATGGAAGTCTGCAAAAAATCAGTTTAGGATCAATGTAAGGAAAAAGTCCTCAAGAATGAGAACTATTCAACAGGGTAATGGGCTTCTGCCCTTCCCCAAAGATCCTACATTCTAGAAGATGACCAAAATGACTTCCCCGTGCCAGAGTCAAGGTCTTTTAAGCAAAGGCTGGATGACCTCTTACATATTATGGGATGTTATAAAGCAGATTCTCATTCAAGTTACAAGAGATGGCCCTTCCAGTGTTGAGATTCTATGATTCTCCTTCCTGGGGGCACATAAATGTACCTTGTACAATGCGGTAGACACAGTGGGTGTTCAGCACTTCATCCATCATGTGATCTACAGATCCCAACTCCTGCTCAGCATTCTCCCCTATGGGATTTTTGTCCATGTCTTAGTTTCAGTCAGTCGTACATGATCTATAGACTTCTGAGAGTCCTTCCGACAGCAGGGAGGTCAACTTAGTCAATACCTAAAGAAATTCATTCAGGCTATTCACTGGAAAGTCAAGTATTGAAGCCAAAGCTTAAATACTTCAGCCCATAACGAGAACACAAGGTTCATTGGAAAAGACCCTGGTGTTGGGAAAGAATGAAGGCTAAAAGAAAAGGGGATGGCTGAATATGAGATGGATGGATAGTGTCACGGAAACGATGAACATGAACTTGGCCAGACTTCAAGGAGATAATGAAGGATGGAAGGACTGGGCGAGCTAGGGTTCATGGGGTCACAAAGAATCGGATGTGACTGAACAATAACAGAAATTCAGCCTACTTTGGGTCATCCTCTGGTTCTCCTTGTTTCTCCAGGGTACCAGTGTTCTCCTTCCAACTGTTTACCTATTCTTTCTGATTTTCACTACATAACCATCCCTCCTCCTTTTTCATCCATGATCATTTGTTGGAAATCTCATGCCACAAAAAGTAGATTATCAAGTAAATTCTTCTCTTGCTGACAATTTCACCTCTTCTAAGAAGTTAGAGAAAGCAATAGGACATAATTCACTGTGGAACTGGTGAAACAGAAGTAATGGGAAAATGGGAGAAAACAATCACATCCTTCTGAAGTCAGTGATGGTCAAGGAGTAGAAATGGAATCATATATTTTAGGCCTGGAAGCCATCTGATCCAACAACCCTGGGACATAGGTGCTATTATTATCCCCATATTACAGTTGAGGAAACTCAGGTTAAGTGAATTGCCCAGGGTCACATAGTAGCTAGTGAGTGCCTGAAGCTTCATTTGAACTTAGATCTTCCTGACTCCAAATCCAGCTCACTAACCATTGCATTACCTAGTTGCCTCTAGGTATTGACAGATGAATTCATGTGGTAGAGTTGTAGACGGCTACCATTTCACCCATTCTCCCAATTCTTTCCCTGGACCCCTACATTTTAATTTCAGTTCACACAGACGTGGAGATCCATGCAGAAAAATCCAACCTGTTTTGTTAGTAAGGCCAAAGTAAACTTTAACTTAACCTCTGCAAAGGGCAGTCAAGAGGATCTTCAAATACCTTGGAATCAGGCCCTGAAGCCACCCTATATGGTCATTATAAGGCTGGCCCTGGTTTCTTAAGAGTCCTGTTCATTTTCCTCAGGAGCACAGGCAATTGATCCCTGGCAGAAGTAAATTACTGGTCTTTTAGGAGGGTGAGCCCTGATCTCCTTGTGGCAAATCCCAAAGGATATTCCTGGGGAATCAGTTGATCTAGGCTTCCTCCTTTATGCATAAAAGGCAAACATTGGAACTTGCATCATCTGGATGGAAAGCAATTTTGAGGGACTCCCAGTTCAAAGGTGTCTGATCTCAGCCAAAGTCTAGTCTAGCCCTCAGAGGAGGCTGCCAAAGGCAGGGCCTAAAAGGCAGATAACCTTTAAAAAACAACAACATCTCTCCACCCAGCCTGGGCCTTTCCTACTGGGCCTTAGGAAAATGTCTGTGGAGAGGAGGGAGAGATCATTACCAAAAAGGATACCTGGATCCCCAGGAAAGAGGCTGCCTAAGGTATTACTCTCAGCATGTTAACAACTGTACACGAGAAAGAACACCACTTTAAAAGCAGCCAACGGGAAGGAAAGGCATGAGCGGAAAAATAAAGGAGATTAGAATTGCATTGAAGAAAACAACATTTTTTTAAAATATGCGTTTCTTAAAGCAAAACTGTTCCCCCAGGAGATAGCTCACTGGCAGTCTCCATCCCTCCCTCCCTCCCTCCCTCCCTCCCGGGCAGGTGGCCTGTTTCCTACTGTCTGTGCTTTTGGGCCCAGTCTGCTGCCGTCTTTCTTTTCTCTTCCTCTTCTGTCTCTCTCTCTCTCTCTCTCTCTCCCTCTCCAGGCCTCCTACACCTTCTGGCTGTTCTGAGGTGCATCCTGGGGATATTTACTAACAGGAAGACAGGAAAGAAGGGGATTGACACAAGTCATTAGGTGACCTAAGCTTCCTGGCAGCCTGCCAGGCCAACTATTGAAGCTCTCTCTCTCTCTCTCTCTCTGAAAAATCCAACATTTCACTTAAACTAGGTCACTTTCAAGTGTTGCAAATGTCAGCTGTGGGGGCAGGAAGGCTACTAGGAAGAGGAGAGAGTGGGGGAGGGAAAGTATAAAGACTAGAGGGGAATTAGGGATGGCCCAGAGAAAGCAGAAAGCTGGGGTGTGCCAAACTCAGTTCTTACAGGGAGAACCAATTGTTAAATTTTCAATGAGAGCACCTCAGAAATTAGCAAATGCTACATAAATCAGGGCTTTGACCGACTGCTTTGTTGATTGTCTAGAAAGTGATAGAGAAAATGTTAACAAGGTAAAGTATACTTAAAAGTGACCAAAGGGAAAGGGAAAGCAATAAGCATTTATATAGTGCCTACCTTGTGCCTAGTGAGGCAGCTAGGTGGTGCAGTGGATAGAGCACCAGCCCTGGAGTCAAGAAGACCTAAGTCAAGCTGTGTGATCCTGGGCAAGTCACTTAACACTGTCTGCCTCAGTTTCCTCATCTGTCAAATGAGCTGGAGAAGGAAATGGAAAACTACTCCAGTATCTCTGCCAAGAAAACCCAAAAGGGGTCATGAAGAGTCAGACATGGCTGAACGACAACAGCTATCTACCTAGCACTATGCTAAGCACTTTATACAAATGTCATCTCATTTAATCCTCACAACAACCCTGGGAGGTATTTTACAGTTGAGACAACTGTCCTTTCTCAACTATCTATTGATTTCCCTGGCTTCCTTCAAGTCCCAACTAAAATCTTACCTTTTACTGGAGGCTATCCTAATCTTTCTTAATTCTAGTGCCTTATTTCCCATTTATTTTGTATGTAGCTTGCTGTGTGTGTGTATGTGCGTGTGTATGTATTTGTATGTTGTCTCCCCCATTAGATTATAAGCTCCTTGAGGGCAGGGACTATATATTTTTTTAATCTTTGCAGTCTACTGCCCCCAGCCTTTCCTTTGCACGGTGCCTGAAATCTAGTAGGCATTTGATAAATGTTTATTGACTAATAGTTTGAGACAGAGGTTAACTGACCAGCCCAGGTTCACACAGATAGCAAATGGCTGAATTCATATTTGAACTTGGGTCTTCCTAATTCCAAGCCAAGCACTCCTTCTGATATGCCACCACTGGCCCTAAGCTAGGAGGGTATGTGTGAGGTGAGGCAGGAATCCAGAGAGATAGACAGATAGACAGACAGACGGGCTTCAAGGGACCTGGAAAAGAAAAGATATACTAAGGAAAGAAGAGAATCAAGTAATCAAAATATAAGAAAAACAGTCCACCCTCCTCTGAGATTCATCTGCAGGAAATTGACAATTAGAGAAGACTGTAAGCAGCCGGAGGGCAGGGGCTGTGTCATTTTTTAAATCTAAGCAGTCCACTGCCCCTAGCAAAACTAGAACATTATTTCTGACATCCATGCTTCAAAGTCTGTGATTTCAAAACTCCTGGGATTCCCTCACCTTTGCAGACTGAAATCCCTATATGCCTTAGGATTTCTGGTAGAGCCCCTAAAAGTTTCTTCCCTAGGGTCACCAATCCCCAACCTTCCACTTAGCTAGAGCCACACAGGCCATGTGGCTATACCTGACAGAGCTTATCTTTGGCTACCAGGTCCTTCCAGAACTCAGGGTCACCTCCATGCCACAATGGAACATTGAAGGAAAATCAAGGCCTAACAGCTGGATCTGGAAGGAACCACAGACTCTGTCTCTTAATCTGAGGTCCGTGAACTTGTTCTTTTAAATATTTTTATAGCTGTATTTCAATACCATTAGTTTCCATTTTAATCCTGTGTATTTTAATTTATTAATTTAAAACATTATTCTGAGAAGGGGTCCAGAGGCTTTCCCAGACTGACAAAAGGATCCATGACAAAAAAATATATATATAAAAAAATCCACCCACAGCTAAGAACTTCTGGTTTTGTTCAGTTTCTTCATTTTACAAATGAAGAAACTAAGGACCAAGACGATCTCTTGTTTCTACCTCCACCTTTCTGACAGCTTCTTCAAGGTCTCCTTTGCTGGATCATCACCCGTGTCATACCATCCAACTATACACAGGTGGGGTACAACTGTGTATGTACCCCCAAGCTCTGTCTTGAACCTGACTCTCTTCTTTCCCTGTGTGCTCTCACTTGATGAAGCAGCTGGGTGGTGCAGTAGATAGAGTGCTGGGCCTGGAGTCAGAAAGAACTGAGTTCAAATCTAGCCTCAGAGACTTTCTAGCTGTGTGACCCTGGACAAGTCATTTAGCTTCCATTTGCCTGAGTTTCCTCATGTATAAAATGTGGATAATAACAGCACCTACCATTTAGGGTTGTTGTAAGGATCAAATGATATAATATTTGTAAAGCACCTAGTATGGTGCCTAGTATATAGTAGGTGCTTAATAAATGTTTATTCCCTGCCTCATCCCACTTCATTAGCCCATAAGGATTAAATGATCATATCTGTATATGTGACTCCCAGACCCTAATATCCAGCCCCAGTCTCTCTTCTGATTTCCAGTTTCACATTGTGAATAGCTGACTGGACATTTTGTACTGAATATCCTGCAGGCATCTCAGGCTTATATCTCCCTAAATCTACCCCTGAAAAACCTTCCTGTTCTTGCCATCATCCTTCCAAGGGCAGAGTGGATAGAGAATTGGACCTGGAAGGAGGGTGTGATTGTTGTGATGGTTGCTGTTTAGTCCTGTCTGACTCTCCATGACCCCATTTTTTTCTTGGCAAAGATACCAGAGTGTCGTTTCCTTCCCCTGCTCATTTTACAGAGGAGGAAACTGAGGCAAATAGGGTTAAGTGATTTGACCAGGGTCACTCAGCTAGTAAGTGGTAGTAAACTAGTGAGATGAGTCTTCCTGACTTCAGACCCAACATTCTATCCACTGTGCCACTTAGCTGCCCTGGGGGAGTGAGAAAGACCCAAGTTCAAATTTTGCCTCAGACACTTATTAGCTACATGACTCTGGACAAAGTCATTTAACAACTCTGTCTACCTCAGTTCCTTCATCTGTAAAATGGGGATAATAATAGTACCTGTGTTACAGGGTTGTTGTGGGAATAAAACAAGATATTTGCAAAGTACTTTGCAAATCTTAAAGTACTATATAAATGCTACTTATTATTATTCTAGTCACTCGGGTTGGAAACCTCAGTGGCATACTCAACTGCTTATTTGTACTCACCCCATATATCTAATCAGCTGCCAAGTCCTGTTGATTTTACCTCTGAAACATCTCTCTCGTCTGTCCCCTTCTCTCTACTCACCCAGCCACCATCTCAGCTTAGGCCGTCATCCCCTCTTGGATGGAGGATTGCAAAAGCCTGTTACTTGGTCTCCCTGACTCAAGTCTCTCCCCACCTCAATGCTTTCTCCACATGGCTATCAAAGAGATTTTTCTGAAGCACAAGTGTGACCCCATCAACCCCAACCCCAAACTCCAGTGACTCCCGACCCTCTCTAGGATCAAAAATAAACTTCTTTGTTTAGCATCGAAAGTCCTTCACAAATTGGCCCCATCCTACTTTTCCAGCCTTATTACACATTGAAGTGTTACAGATGTAGTGCCCTTCATGCATTATGTGTTCAGTCGTTTTCAGTCACATCCGATTCTTCATGACCCTATTTGGGGTGTTCTTGGCAAAGACACTTGAGTGGTTTGCCATTTCCTTCTCCAGCTCATTCTATAGATGAAGAAACTGAGACAAACAAGGTTAAGTGTCTCATCTAGGGTCATGTGGCGAGTATCTGAGGTCAGATTTGAACTCAGGACTTCCTGATTCCTGGCCCAGAACTTTGTCTACTGTACCACCTACCAGCCCTAATACTTAAAATATTTCACAGACTCAAGGTTGAATTGAGTTCAGATAGTAACTAACCTCTTCTATGTGGCACGCTCACAATAGTCTACAGCAAAAGCGAAATACAGGTCAAATTTCACTTTCAATAAATATCATTACAACCAATGTTCCTAGAGTTCCTACGACCCTAGGATTTCTAAGTCCCATGTGATGGTCCTGTTATTTCGAGCAATACTCAACACGGCAGAATTCCAGTTCAACCAAAGAATTTAGATAGTCTCTCAGAACTCCTCATAAATTTATTTGGCTTTGTATAACCTCTAAGGAACTCAGAGTTCTCATACTAATCAGATCTCACAATTCTCCTGTCAGACAGATAAGTGCAGAGATATCATCATATCCATTTTATAAGAAGAGGAAATAGTTAAGTGACTTGTCCAAGATCACAAAAAAGTTGATCAGGTGTCCTGACCTATAATCACATAGGCAGCCCTTCCTCTGTGTGCCAGAAGACCCTAAAGGGAGATTTTCCAAGTGCATGGGAAAGGGATTTCTAGAGTAGGTGGGCCAATGTGGGGAGCTTCAAAAAGTTTTGCTTGGGGGCCTCCTATTTAAACTTCTGATACTTGGTCCCTTAGGAATGAAGTGATACATGGCCTAGGAATGTAAAAATAGCAGAAGTAAACAGATATCAAAAGAGTGAGAGATAAAATAAAGGAAGGGAAAGTTCTTGAATTCCTATCACTAAGAAGTAACTAGCAAGGAGGCCTGAGGCCTGACATAAAGCCCCTGTTTGCTTTTTCCCCCTTCTCCACAGGAATTCTAGGTCGAGGTAGTCTTGCCCTTGGCTCTTCTCTAATGTGTATAAAGTCACAGAAAACTGAAAGTAATAAGAACGTTTGACTTTATTCTTTCCTGACTCCCTGAGAATGCTCCTTTACCACATATTTTCCTGGACATCTTCTGGAAGGCTTTCCCTGACTGACCTTCTCCCCTCGTTCTGACCCTATTCCACATCCTCATGGCATTTATGTGGATAATCCAAGCTAAGGCAGCTAGGTGTCAGGAGAACCTGAGTTCAATATGGCCTTGATGGCTGTGTGACCCTGGGCAA